TTACCGCCACCTACTGATGTGGAGTGTGGACTGGATTGATGCTCAAAAAAATTTTTTAAAATAAAAACAAATAAATAAATGCAAATTAAAAAATGTGTTCCCGTGTTTCTCTGCCCTGCTGTCTTGCCTCCAGCCCCGCCCACACTCACCTGTTTCCTCTTGTGTCTACTCCAGGTGTTTCTTGCCTCATTAAGTTTTGCCTTCATATTCTGTGCCCTTTCCTCTGTGTCTTGTCGGTTCACTGTGCTGCTTACTCAGCCAGTGTGGTGTCCTCATGTTTCCCCAGAGAAGATCCTTGAGTTTTTGTGAGTATTTTCTGAGCTGCCTTGCCAGCCTCTTTTGTTAAAAAAGCCTTTGTTGCATTTTTAAGATTTTGCCTGTGCCCCGGGTCAATCTTGCCTCACACCTTTACATTTCAAAGGTAACAGATCTTTGTAATACTTGATTTATTTACATAATGGCTGTAACTGCTGGATGTTCGGCCCCCGAGCTGTTGGCCTGCAGTAACTGTGGCCTTCGGTGCAATCTAGTTGAATAGTCCTGTTTTACACCAGTGGTTCCCAAACATTTCAACCTTTGACACACAAAATAACAGTACCAAAGACCGGTCCTAATCCTTTTTTTGTTGTTTTAAAAATTGATATCAAGTCAAATGGGGTGGCTGTGGTGTAGTGGTAGAGCAGCTCACTTGGGACCAGAAAGTCACAGGGTCAACTCCCCGCCAAGCCCACATGTCGTGGTGTCCTTGAGCAAGACACCCAACCCCAGATGCCCGCTGCTCCACCTGGGTGTTTCTCATGTGTGATGGGTCAAATACAGAGCACAAATTTCATCCTTGCATGGGAACATGCATTGATGACAAAGCACCTTTTTTTTATAAAAATAAATATGGGCATAATAATACCATTTATTAAGCTAACTTTGTACATTTTGAAGTACAATAACCAGTCTTTTGTAACAATTAAGACAAAAAATAGTTTTTAGTAGTACTTTTTAAATGTTGTTAATCTTTTTTTCCCAAGACCCCACCTTGATATTTCAGGACCCACAGTGGGGTCCCAACTCCAACTTTGGGAACCACTGTTCATCACCACAATAATGTAATTAGTGTTGGCAAAAGTTACTTAGAGGCTTTTATGTTAATGTAAGATAAGTTACAACAGTATTAAATATTATTTTAGAATAAATATTTCTTTAATCTGTAACAAATCAAATTTCTAAAGGGATTTTCAAAATTTTGAGTTTTCACAATAAAAACTTAAATTATTTGACTATTATAACTAAAACACCTGATTTATGCTTCAATTATTTTTTCAACTAACCAAGAGATACAGTATACACACCACTTTAGGAAACGTAACCTTAATAAATTTTTACCTCGTTCCTTTCCCACCAGGTGTGGTTCTCGAGGCCATCCAGTGTAAACTTCTGAGAGCGGCGAACAACAAAGTAAATCAGATACCCACTTCCTGCTAAGCAGCATAGGACCAGGAAGTTTGCCAGCACTCGCAGGAAACGAGTGAGGTGGATGTTGTCATCTTTCCGGCTTTCCTGCTCCTCCAGAATTGCTTCCTAAACAAAAATCAAAAAATGCATTTAAAAAAATATATCAGTGTTTCATCAGTTACCAGACTGGAAATTCAACAATCGAAAGCTTTGACCTTGAAGCTGGTGGTGATGGAGGCAAACTTGTTGTCTGCAGTTTCAGGATTTCCAATCAAATAATCCCAGCTGGTGAACATCTTCCAGCTGAAGTTGAAGCTATTATCGTCTCCGACTCCTGACTCGTTGGCATTACGAGCCATCCTTTATTTAGAAAAAAATGCACTGAATTTAGAGTATTTTGCTACGAAATGTTGATCAAATACACACTCACTTACGTTCTTATGACAACCATGTAGCTGTAGGCAACTGTGCCCACACCAACCAGGAAGTACGACAGAGGCATTCGGAACTTGAGCCATCCAACGGCACGCTGGTTGTTGTAGTAACCATAAAAGAGGACTGAATACTGAGCGTAACCCTGTGAATATAGTTCATACAGATTAAAAAATGGATACCTAATAATTAAAAACTGGCACATGATGATGTGCAATTAAACTAACTCAAAAGTCAGCATGATGTGGAGCACTTGTAACTGACCTTGAAGTCCCACAGGACAGCAAAGTCCATGGCACTGGCCTCCTCAGCTCTGGGAACCGTCTTTCTTGGGATGGTGCCATAGGGCCGTCCCATCAGGGCCTGTTGGTGATCGGCATGGAACAGGGGAAGCCTCATGTAAACTTTTTAAGGTTCATAATAAGAGGTTGGGTTGATTTCAAAAGGATGATTCTACTGTGGTTTATGTCATATTTGACAAAATGGAAATTCTCCACACTGACAAAAATTATTCATCTTCACTTATATTTGGAGTTCCACAAGGCTTCGTTCAGGGCCCTGTTGTGTTTTTAACATGTATGTTGCCTTTTACAGTTATTTTTAGGAAATAAAACCACACCTATCTTATTTTGGCAATCAGATTGTGCCTAATCCAGAAAATATCTGGATTAGGCACAATATGAATTAGTCCCATACTAAATAAATCTTCTGTTAAAATAATTGGTGGAGAGTTTGAAAGCTATTAATTTTTTTCAAAGATATCAGTTTTATTTTATGTATTTGTAGTGTTTGTTTGTTTTGTTTATAAAAACTACATGGAAACTTTCAAAACTTCATTACACTTTTACTCAAAGGTATTCAACTCAAATAGAGCTCAACAACTTGATTTTATTAATTGTGTTAAATATTGTACGATGCCATATAAAATCAATTTACTACATTTTGTTAAATTCTTATGTGGGGGTGGAGGCTATACCAATTTTAGTTGCAACTCTGTTCAAAGGGGTTATGCTTAAATAAATGTTAGGGTACAGTTAGGATGTGTTGCAGTCAGGGGGCATACCTCTGGTACCATAACCAGGCCAAAGGTCAGTCCAAACAGAATCATGTTGATGCCGTACATCCACCTCAGAAAGATAAAGTATGAGGCAACTGAGGAACCAAAATGACCTGCATAATAGAAATTCTTTATCAGGAAAACATGTCTGGTCAACATGGCCAGCCCTAAAGTTACAGAAGCTCCATCTTTAGTTTTTACTGAAAAGACAGCTCTTTTAGTCATTTTGTTTTACATGTAGTGTTTCTGCACAAATATTTGTCTAAGCATGAAATGAAAGCTATTATAACTGAACATGATCATGAAACAAACTTACTTTCAATCTCTTTTATTTTCATCTCCCATGGAATGCAGGCAGTTTTGAAGTTTTCAAAATCTCGTTGGAACTTCATCCACCTCTAACGACATTAGATACAATACAATTTATTGTGTTTTAATGTCAGTTTTTAAATAAATCTTGTTCTTGTTCCTTTTTTGCATTCCTAACATTTGCATCAAGTGAAATGCTTGCCTTGGTCATCAAGACTTTGTATGCATAGAGCTTCCTGCCTTTCCCTTTCCCCAGAGCTCCTTCATATTTCTCCACAAACTCCTGAGATTCCCTAGAAAAAAAATGTACTCAGCTGAAAGAACAGAACATTTTTAATTCTAACATGTAGTTAAAGTACCGTAAAGTGACAAGCTTCTTTTTCATCGGCCAGGGTTTTCCCCTCAGACTCTGGATCAGCTTCTTCTTCTCATCCACGGCCTCCTTCAGCTTCTCCAGCTCCTCTGGGGACAGAGACTCTGGCCTCACCTCCTCATCGTCATTGGCATTTTCTTCATCATCGTCTTCCTCACTTGTCTCCTGTTCTGAACTGAGACATTGAAGACTGCCGTGTTGGTTCAAAAAGTTTACTTTAAAAAGTGCAGAATGAGGAGGTCAGTTGAAGTTTTACCTCGATTCAACAACCTTTTTGTGTTTTTTCTTCTTCTTCTCTTGTGTTTTCTTTTTTGCCACATGTTTACGTCCATCTTTCTTCTCTCTTTTGGCACCTCCACGTTTCTTTTTCCCTTTTTCGTTTCTTTCTCCAGCTTCTCTCTCCTCCGCTGTGTCTATTTTTTTAGTTTTTTCATTTTTGATGTTCTTCTTTGTTTTTGCTGTTTTGCTCCTTGTTGGTTGGCCCCGGTCTCCATCGCCTCTCTCACCTTCTTTTGCTTCTTGTTCCTCTTTTGCACTTCGTCTCCTGCCACTTTCTGTTTTCTTCTGCCTCGGCTGAAACTCATTGCCTCTGTCTGTTGAGGAAGATGATTTTTTTCTCCTGCTGTTTTTCCTTCTCTCCTTTTCTCTGTCAGTCTCTTTTCTTTTCCCTCTGTGTTTTTTCTTCTCATGTCCTTCTTGAAAATCATCACCTGTAATAGCAAAAAATCAGTTCAGCTTTCATTATGTCTTTTTCTTGCTTAAACAAATATTGATGTTGCTTCTTTGCCCTTTCCATTTTAGGTTTCTATGTTTCTCTGTCAACACAAAATGAGCTGAGTATTGTAAAATGTTTGTCTTGAAATAGTTTGATAAACTTATTTTGATTTGAGAAAAAGATTAAATGAGGAAGGAGAAGCTAAATCTAAATCTAAAGTTAATGTAAATCACAATATCACTTAGCCATTTTTATTGCATATTATAAATTAAAAGACACTTACCTGTAAAGTCCAGCTCAATGTCAGCTGTGGAGGAGAGATGAATTCATTATAAAATCCACAGTTTAAAAACCAAGATATCTTCAAAATTATCGTAATTTTGGCCTGGTGAAAAAGTATTATACCTTAATATTATACAGTATGAGAAGAAAATTAGGCTAGGCTTTTCAGTTTTATTTATTTTTTAATTTATTTGGATGTTTGGTCAACCCATGAATAAGAAAAAAATATTTGTGATTAAGATGGCCTAAAATTTGAACTAAATTATTTGTCTCTTTATCTTTAATGGATTAAACAAACTAAAGCTAAACAGAGCATCATCTTTATCAAGTATCAGTTCAAAACATTTAATAGTTTGAAGGACTTTTGTTTGTTTGTCTGATTGTTTGTTTGTTTGTTTGTTTGTTTGTTTGTTTGTTTGTTTGTTTGTTTGTTTGTTTGTTTGT